AAAAAAATATTTTGTCTCTCATGCTTATCAAGGCTGCATTTATTGGATTAAAAATACAGTTAAACAGTAATATTGTGAAATATTATTACAATTTTAAACAGTTTACTACTTTAATATATAGGCTTCATTGTCATGATGCTTCAGAAATAATTCTAATATGCTGATTTGCTGCTTTAGAAACATTGCTTATAATTATCAATGCTGAAAACATTTATGCTGCATTATACTATGGTGGAAACGGTTTTTTTTCAGGATTCTTTGATGAATAGAAACAGTATTTGTTTGAAATAGATATCTATTGAAAAGTTATACGTCTTTACTGTCATTTAATGCATCCTTGTTGAATACAACTATGAATTTCTTTCATGAAATGGTTGTGTTTGTTGCTTACATTCAGATACAAAGTATCAAGTTGTGTTGCACCAATTTTGACAACAGCAAAAATGCAAAACAATATGCCCAGCAGGCATACAACGTCATAAGACGTTGATATTTGGTTAAATATCGGTTGCGACGTCGGGTGAGCAAAATTCAATGTAAATTCAACGACTAATGTCAATGTTAAATTGATGTCCCAATACTGTCAGCTGACATTGATATTTTGTTGTTTTTAGGTTGTGTAACCAAAATCCAATGTTAAGTCGACGTCAAATATTGACGTCAACCCGATTTTCATTTTCAACCAAAATGCAACGTCTGTCTGACGTCATGTCCAACATCTACCTGACGTTACATAGACGTCCGATGCCTGCTGGGTGTCTTTACACTCCATATTTAAATACACTTGAATGTAAATTTCTATATGTGCTTCATGGAAGAGTGGACATGCAGAAAAAGGTTGAGGGTAAGCAAAATCCCAAGAGAATTATAATATTTGGGTGTACTTCATTTCCCTAACCTTGTTTTCTGTCCTGCATGGCAAATGTTCCAAATGTTGGCATCCTGTTGAGCAACATGCTTTTAGAATACCCATATTTGTTAAGACATTTTTTCCCAATCAGCATCTTCCAGATTAATGTTTTGTTGCTTTTTTTGGTCTCTAAAATAATTCTCTAATTTTTCGCCCTCTATTTTAGGAAGATGAAGAAAGCAGTCAAACTGTCACCAGAAACGACTCTCCTGTTCATCTTCGTCCAAACAGCAACCACACCAACAGTTCGGCACCACCATCCATAGCAAGCAACCGCATGTACGAGGCTGCTCCTGGTAAGTACACACTGCCACTGATTCAATTGCTTTAGGTCGTGACTTAAAGTTGCTGTACTATTAATTCCTGCTTCATAGACAGCTCCAGAATTCAACTGGATCATGTGGCGGTTTCCACTGGTGGTCGCCAAATCACATTCGGTGTGAATCCATCTTAACTTGTTGACTTCATTCTAAATGCACACCAAGTAATTGCTTTTATATAATGTTAAGTGAGTTCATCTAAATTCTCTCACTGTTAAAGAAACCAATGAAATTGATCAGGTCTCCAAAACAGAAAGAAAGTGAGCGTTCTTCATCAACACCATGTGAAGAGTGCTTTGCTTCTCTGTAAGGGGAATAAATAAATGAGTTAATTTTCTCTGCCGCCTCATTTTCCATGCCAGCGTAGCTTTCCATTAGCTTTTTCGACTTCTACAAGTTGGAAATCCACCCATCTCATCAATACGGATGGAAAGCCAATGACGATATTTTTGCTACATTTTCTTCCGCTTTTATGCAACGCGGCCTGACCTTGAAATCATTAAGCTGATGAAATGGATTCTAAGTGGGCCTTATTAGCATACTCGCAATTGTGCCGAGCGCTCGAGAACGGATAACAAACTGTTTTAAATTCACACTATTCTTTCCCGCCGCTCTCCAGAGAGTTGCCCGTGCCAACACAAAAGGCTTTTTCCGTGTTTTTGGGAAACCATTGTTTACTGATTAGCGTCTCTTGTCCATCAAAGCATGTGACTGTACTTTACTCGCACAAAGAGGGGGATGTGATATTTACACACGTCTCATTTTAAATTCAGATTGCTTTCCACACTCGCTGCCGTTAGATTTGGTCAAATCTGAAAAATTTAAAACGCCAAACCCAGCGTACAAGTGTGCTAGTTTTAAAGAAGTGTTGTTTTAATCACATGTTTTTGCTAGCACCAGTATTCATATTTCATGTCACTGCATATATATGACGCAGTCATTCTGGACCCGCTTTACAATATATGGCTAAATGGTGGAAGGAATGGGGACAGTAGTGCAGAAAATTGAGTCGTAATGGAGGTATTTCAGACTAGTGCTGCTAACATTGATCAGAACATTGTGTGGTCATTGAGAAGGTCTCAATCTATTTCTCACATGTTAGATGATTCAAAACTCAGTGAACGTGGCCAAGTGTGTCTTATTCCTCATAATAGGAGGAATAACTTGCTTTCAAGTCATTTTTAAACCTGTATGACTTTCTGTTTCTCAGTGAAACGCCTATACAATAGAAGAGAACTTAGAAAGTTGAGCTAAAAAATAAGAAAGACATGAGTCTTCTGAAGCCATACAATGGCTTTGTGTGATGAACATCAGCTTTAATATTAGTATATAACATTAAAACTCATATTTCCAAACAGCTCCTTACAGACCCCCTGGCGGACCACAGGAACTGCCGGAGGAAGATTACGATGAAGACGATTTCCCCCCTCCACCTTCTGATCTGGACCTGCTGGAAACAAACCCTCCACACAAACACCAACAAAATCGGTTAGTTATAGCGCTCAAAGAGTAAATCCGGAGATAACGGCCACAGTTCATTGGTTTTCTTTAAGAGCTCTTATTGTGAATGCAAATAAACTAGTACATTGATCAGTGCTCGGTATTGCATCCTGAAGCCTTATTTCAAAGATTTGAAAACAATGATACCATGCAGAAGAATTATTATCTAGTTGTACCATCAACTATTCCGTCAAACACCCAATTGTAACCACTATAGACCATAGACATAGACACCATAGACTTACATATTTATGTACAAACACACACACAAAGAAAGATTTGTTTACAGTATAGGTAGACATGAATGAAATTAATGTCGGTTGCAAATACTTTGTCATTCAGTACTAAAACATATCAATAAATAATTCAATGTATATAGTTAGTTACATATGAAATATTGACTATTTTATCCAATATTTCTGCTACACTACTGTTCAAAAGATTTTTTAAAATAAATGCTCAGAATTTTCTCAGAAAAGACATGTATAATGTTACAAAAGATTTCAATTTCGAATAAATGCTGCTCTTTTGAATTTTCTTTTGTTCTTTTGAACTAACGCAGCGCAACTGTTTTCAACATTGATAATAATATGAAATGTTTCTTGAGCAAAAAATCTGCATATTAGAATGTTAGAATAAGGATGCTGAAAATTCAGCTTTGCATCAATAAAATATATTATAAAAGAAAACTTTTAAATTGTAATAATATATCACAATATGACTGTTTTTACTGTATTTTTGAGCATGTAAATTCAGCTTTGGTGAATATAAAATATTTTATTCAGAGGCATTTTACTCACAAACATTTGAGAGGTAGTGTATGTGTTTTTATGCTTGTAGTATATAGCATATATGCTTGATTAGAGTGTTGCATTGTAAGATCAAACTGACTTTGTGTGATATGTGTCTTGTAGGGCTGAAATGGGGCCGGTTTCCTACAAACCCACCAACCAACAATACCCTCAACAACAGAAAGTCCCAGATTACCCCACCAACAAGTCCTCCAAGAGCATGGATTTAGGTATGAAACACACACACACCACATTTACCAGAAACTACCTACAAAATAATCTCCAGATAAAATAAACTACATCTTGTGGACTAGATGCATTTTGACCAGTTAAAAATGCATTTAGTTTACTATACTGGGACTTTACAGACATTAGATTAATGACTTAATTTAAATACAGAGCAATGCAATTTCAGTGCATTTAACGCTTGGTTAACTTGGACGCAGTTAATAAGACGCAGGTTTTTGAGGTGAAATATTTTGCGCTAAAGCCTTGTAGACAAAGATTAAAGGTTATACTGAGACCTAGAAGACTTTTGAAAGATTTTGGTCTGTTTATCTGAACACAGTGGAAACCGATTGCCTTCAGTGCAAAATAAAGCCCTATAGCTACACATTTCCCAGTATTAGCCACGGATGACCCCGATAACTTGTCCTCTCTCTTTTCCACCACCTTCAGAAACAGGAGGGATATTTCGGTGCTCCACAATGGGAAGTTTTCGCCCGTTTCCAATTACATTTCATTAGGGTGGAGTATTGGCTTCAGCTCCACTGCCACTGTGCTAATCTCCTCACTGCTGAAAGCTGATTGGTTTTCATTACACACATCTCATAGTGTCGTGCTTTGCTGCCATCTTTTATCCCCCATCCAGACCTTTTCCCCTCTATTTATTTCTTTATCTCTCTCTTTCTCTCTCTCTCTCTCGCTTTTTCGTTTTGTTCTTTAAGTTACTCTTTCAATTTTTCTGTATAGGCCTTGTGGCCCGTGGTTCAGTTAGTGTTTCTTTTTGTCCTTTTTCATTTCATTTTGTCCTCTTTTATTTCTTTTTGATAAATTTGTACATTAAGATAAATAAATATACATCTAAAAAAAAATCTAAATCATTGTTGCAAAGGCATTAGCATTTGTAATTCACTATAAGTATTTCTATTTTTTTACTTTTATAAATTGTATAGATAGATAGAGAGACAGATTAGAGACATAGATTCATTTATTAAAAGAAAATGAGTAATATTCTTTATTTGAATATATTAATCAATAAAATAAATTTAACAAACTCTGATGCATATATGTGGTTGCTTATGATTTGCTTAAACTAAATCATTTAAAATGTTCTGTTTCAAGGCTTAACTTACAAAGCTGTATGATGTATGCAAGTTTTAGCAACGATTTCCATCAAAGTGATTGTTTTTGGAGGGTTTTTGGGTAATGGATTTCCACTCAGGGTCACAACTGTGACTGAAGGTGGGAGCAATTTCAGATATTTACTCTAGCATTAACCGCTGTTAGCGTAATACAGGTCATTTATATCCAAATACAAAAATAACCAACGTATTTATTAATCTTAATTTACAAACATTCTACAAACCTTTAAAGTAATCTATCCATCACCCAAGGGTCCACTTTTCTTATCCTCAAGGCACATAATTTCAGTCTGGCTAACGTTTTCCTCTGTGATATTGCGAAACGTTGAAAGACAAAGGTTTTTCTCAGTCAAGCGTGGTCCCTATGAGAGGTTTGGCTTGAGTTCTGGAGGCTAGCGTTTGGAGTTCAGAGTTTTGGCTCTGCTCGAGTCTCTCTGAAAGAGCTTTATTCTGCCAGTCGCATCATTAGCAGCTGTATGTGTTTTTCTGGGCAGACGTTCATGTGAAAATGCTCTTAATTTCTCATTTGCTGATTGCTTTCAGGCCATTTACCTTTACTTTCATGCAGTAGTGCAACACACCAGCCAAATGTGCTTTTATCAGAATATGTAGAACTATTTTTTTATTTTTCTCCTTAACATTTTAGTAAAAAAAAAAAGAAGAAAAGTTTACTGACTGGTTTCTAGGGTGTTTGGATGGTTGCTAGGGTGTACTGCATGTTGCTAGGGTATTCTGGGTATTGTTGTGCTGTTTTGGCTGGTATCTAGGGCATTTTGCATGTTGCTAGGATTTTCAGAGTTGTTGCTAGGGTATTCTGGGTGGTTGCTAAGATGTTTTGGTTGTTGCTGTGCTGTTTTGGCTGGTATCTAGGGCATTTTGCATGTTGCTAGGATTTTCAGAGTTGTTGCTAATGTCTTCAGGGTGGTTGCTAATGTAATGCTATGGTATTTGGGATGGTTGCTAGGGCATTCTGTATGATTGCTGGGATATTTTGGGTGTTGTTTTGATGTTTTAAGTGGTATCTAGGGCGTTTTGCATGTTGCCAGGGTTTTCAGGGTGATTGCTGAGGTATCGCTGTGTTTTTTTTTTTTTTTCGTTGTTAGGGTGTTTCAGTTACTGCATGTTGTTAGGATGTTTCGGTTGTTTCAAGGATTTTCAAGGTTGTTGGTAGGGCATTCTGTAAGGTTGCTAGGATGTTTTTGGTGTTTCTTTGTTGTTTTGTGTGTTTAGGGGATTTTCTATGTTGCTGGGATGGTCAGGGTGCTTGTTAAGATGGTATTTTGGGAGGTTGCTAGTCCATTGTGCATGTTGCTAGGGTTTTAGGTTTTGCTGGGATGTTCAGGGTTGTTGCTAGCCTGCATTGCTAGGGGATTCTGGGTGTCTTCAAGGGTATTCTGGATGTTGCTGTGGATTTTTGGGTGTTTCTAGGGCATTTTGTATGTTGCTAGGGTGTTTTTAGTATTGCTAGGATGTTCAGAGTTGTTTCTACTGTTGATAAGGGAAGGCTGCTAGGGTGTTCAGAGTGGTTGCTAGGGCATTGGTTGGTTCTGGGTGGTTTCTATGATGTCCGGATGTTTCTGTTGTGTTTTGGATGGTTTTTAGGGTGATGTTCAGGGTTGTTGCTAGGGTGTTGATAAGGGTTTCTGGCTGGTTGCTGGGGTGTTCTGGGTGATGAGTGATTGCTAGGGCATTTTACATGTTACTATGTGGATGTTAGGGTGTTTTATGTGTTGCTCACATGTTCAAGGCTGTTGCTGGGGCATGACTAGGGTGTTGAGGATTGTTGCTAAAATGTTTTGGTTGGTGGCTAGTATGTTTGGAGTTGTTGCTAGGGTGTTCATTGTTGCTATGGTGTTCTGGCTTGTTGATAGGGTGTTTGGGGTGGTTGTTTGGATGTTCAGGGTTGTTGCTCGGGTGTTCGTCATGGTTTCTAGTCTGTTCTGGCTGATTTCCAGGGTGTTCATTTTTGCTAGGGTGTTCTGGCTGGTTACTAGAGTGTTTAAAGTTGTTGCTTGGGTGTTCAGGTTTGTTAATAGGGTGTCCAGCGTGGTTGCTAGGGTGTTCATCATTGCAAGGGTGTTCTGGCTTGTTGCTAGGTTGTTCAGGGTTGTTGCTAGGGTATTCAAGTTTGTTGCTATGGTGTTGTTCAGCATGGTTTCTAGTCTGTTCTGGCTGGTTTCCAGGGCCTTAATTTCTGCTAGGGTGTTCTGGCTGGTTGCTATGGTGTTTAAAGTGGTTGCTTGGATGTTCAGGTTTGTTACTAGGTGTTCAACGTGGTTGCTAGGGTGTTCATCATTGCAAAGTTGTTCTGGCTTGTTGCTAGGACGTTTGGGGTTGTTGCTAGGGTGTTCTAGTCTGTTGCTAGGGTTTTCAGCATGGTTTCTTATCTGTTCTGGCTGGGTTCCAGGATGTTAATTTTTGGTTGCTAGGGTGGTTGCTAGGGTGTTTAAAGTGGTTGCTTGGGTGTTCAGGTTTGTTACTAGGGTGTTTAGCGTGGTTTCTAGTGTGTTCTGGCTGGTTTCTAATGTGTTCATTGTTGCTAGGTTGCTCTGGGTGGTTGTTAGGGTGTTCTTGCCGGTTGCCACTTTGTTCTGTGTGGTTTGCTTGAATGTGTTATCATGACTTTGAGCAAATAATAATAGTGCTGCCTGACTTAGCAAACACCGTGAACAGCATTAATATGAGTATTTGAGTATAATGTGATCGTAAAGGATGTTTTTGCAGTCCTTCGTGTGTGTGTGTGTGTGTGTTTGTGTGTGTGTGTGTGTGAGAGATGTTTGCGTGTGTGTTTCTGCATGCATGAGTGTGACATTTTGCCTGTGTTTTGTTGAGTGTGGATAATCCAAATTTGTAGGCGCTGTCAAGCATTCAGTGCCAAAATATTATTTTTTCCTCCCTTTTTTTACTCTTCTGTACCTATTTTTTCCCCCATCAGCCCTGTCTGTGTTCTCTCACATACGTGTCCATATGTACACACACGCGTGTGAACCCACACAAGCCTCTCTTCCAGTGTTATTTCTCTGCTGGGGAAATTGAGCTCATAAAAGATGAAAAGGCTTATTTAAGAGAAATTGCAGTGTAATGAAACCCCATTATTGTATCCCATGGTGCAATGCCTGTGGCAGCAGCTGCTCTTCACTGCTCAATCCTGTTTGTGCGGATTAGTCTCTCTCTCTCTCACACACACAGAGACACACTTTCTTGTTTTCACCACTCAGGCCCACACACACTAATAATTCCTTGTTTTCCTCCACGGGTTGCTACTGTAAATGTCATCGTGGTTTTCATAGATGTAGTCGCTCATATGCATTGCAAAAATCCGTTGTTTTGTTTTCCAGAAGAAAATTCTGAGCAATCTTAAAACAAGACACATTTGATTTTTTTAAGAATGAAAAATGACCCAGTAAATAAGTGTCCGTAAATAAATTTATTTCTTGTTCTTTTGAACTTTCTATTCATCAAAGAATCCCGAAAAAAGGTATCATACCTTACACGAAAACATTAATCAGCTATTAATTGTTTTCAACATTAATAATTATACGGAATATTTCTTGAGCAGCATATCAGCTTATTAGAATGATTTCTGAGGGATCATGTGACACCACAGTATAAAAAAATCTGTCACAGGAATAAATTACATTTTAAATTATATTCAAATAGAAAACACTTATTTTAAATGTTAAAGTTAAATGCAAAAATGTTAAATTCTAATAATATTTTACAATATTACCATTTTTGCTGTATTTTTGTATATTATACAGTAAAATAGTGTGTGTATATGTATGTATGTGTGTGTTTATATATATATCCTGTTTTTTTATTTCTTTTCTTTATGAGTTTTTGCTATGTGTGCACAATGTAAGTCAAACCGTTCGAGTGTTTGTGTGTGTGTGTGTGAGAGAGAGTGTGAGTGAGTGTACGCGTGTAGTTTTGTGTGTTTAGGCAAACCACAGATGTTCTCAGCTGTACAGAAGCGTAACTGGCCCTGCACAGCCTTTCCTAATTAAAACCAAGTGTGGCTACTTGCATGAGGAGAGAGAGATGAAGCTAGATCCATACATCAGGTCACATGTGGAAAAGCTAGAGTTAAAGAGATCTCTACAAATCCAATGTATTATTTTGTCAGTGCAGTTTTTTTTCTTATAAAGGTTCAGTTTAAAAGACATAAGTCATGCTAGGACTAAAGTGTATTACAGTGGCTTATTTATTCCAGGGTAAATATAATCCTAAATATAATATAAGTCATATAAAATCAAAACTGAAAGGGATTGTCAACCCAAAAATAAACATTTTGTCATAATTTACTTACCCTCATGTTGTTCTAAACCTGTATGAAATGCTTTCTTCTATTCAACAGAAAATAAGATATTTTGAAGAATGCTGGTAACCAAAAAGTTACTGGGAGCCATTGACTTCCATAGTATTTTTTTCCCCATACAGAAAGGCAATGGGTACCATCAATTGTTTGGTTGCCATCATTCATTAAAATGTCTTATTTTGTGTTCAACAGAAGAAAGAAACTCATACAGTTTTGGAACAACTTGAGAGTGAACAAATTATGACAGCATTTTTATTTTTGTTGGAACTATCTCTTGAAGTTTTGTGGCTTATACCCTAATGTGTAAAAGAAGCCTAAACCAGTATAAGATGGTCTTAGGTGGTCTACTGGTCAGACTGGGAGATAATTTAAACCAGCTTGACTAATTTGGAAGACCAGGCTAAGATCGGCTTAGACTAATTTAAGCTACTTTTCTCGGCATGGTAGTAGATATCTGGATGCTAGCGTCAGCTTAAAATCAACTTACAATAGAAGCATAAATGCATGCAAGTGTTTTAAAAGCATTACGGCAAAACTTAAACATTACACTTGTTAACATGAGCCTGTTGTGAAGTTATATCCAGTCTGGAATGTCTACTGGGCGACACAAATAAGTGTTTAAGGAGCTGATGGATGTTTTGTTTTTGTGTTTCAGTGGCAGATGAGAGTAACATGGCCTCCATTCAAGGACAGAGACCTGGTAAGGAACTTGAACACGAACACACACACACACACACACACACACACACACAGCACATATTAAAGCCACGCACCACATGGGAATGAGATTTTACTATGGTTAAGGAGTTTTGTTAGGCATGTTAAGCCGAGTTGGTTGGAACCCTCTTAACCGTGGTAACGTGCTTTATTTTAATGAACAGCAGCAACAGAAATATGATAAAAGACAGCAATGTTCTATACCTGATTAATTTTATTCATAAACAATAAGTAAACAATTGCTCTGCCAAGTTGTTTAGTTTATCAGCCTTGCAACGTCAGTTCCACCATACTGCTTTAATAGCCAACATCTCATTTATGGTCAAGCGCTACAAGGCTGGCCCAAGATCAAGCATGTGATCTGTAAAGCACTGTGTTAGTTGACTCACAGGCCAGTAATCTGACTCCAGATCAGTTGCTGTGTCTCAGCCAAGTCAAATGAAGATAAACAGAGGGCAACTGCTGGCCATTTGTAGCCTGTCAGTTGAGGTGAGAAAGTGAGTTGCTGCAGGCAGTGATTGAGTTAGTGGAGGAAACAGACAGACACAGTGAAAGCAGTGACCACACGCTACAAGACCACAGACACATGCAGGGTCTGTTCCAAAAATCTAGTTTTCAGTAAAATAGACAATAATATACACTAGTCAACATTTAAAGTGGATCAAAACCTTTCATCAAAGTTGTCCTAAAACCAAAAACCAAAATGCGTTCTTTTCTTAGGACAACTTTGATTAACTTTTTTGATCCACTTCAAATGTTGACTACTGTATATCATAATATAGCATTTTCAGTCTTAAAGACTACATTTTCAGTCTTAAAAAGTCACGATTTTTGAAAGTGACTTTTTATTATATGCTCTACCTATAAATTTCTAGGCATATATATATTTAAATCATGACAACTCTCGGAACATTTTAGCATGGTGATGGATATGACAATGTTAATATACAAACCCAATTCCAAAAAAGTTGGGACACTGTACAAATTGTGAGTAAAAAAGGAATGGAATAATTTACAAATCTCATAACATCTCTGATGGTATGGGGTTGCATGAGTGCGTGTGGCATGGGTAGCTTACACATCTAGAAAGGCACCATCAAAAAGGTATATCCAAGTTCTAGAACAACATATGCTCCCATCCAGACATCGTCTCTTTCAGGCATGACAATGCCAGACCACATACTGCATCAATTACAACATCATGGCTGCGTAGAAGAAGGATCGGGGTACTGTAATGGCCAGCCTGCAGTCCAGATCTTTCACCCATAGAAAACATTTGGTGCATCATAAAGAGGAAGATGCGACAAAGAAGACCTAAGACAGTTGAGCAACTAGAAGCCTGTATTAGACAAGAATGAGACAACATTCCTATTCCTAAACTTGAGCAACTTGTCTCCTCAGTCCCCAGACGTTTGCAGACTGTTATAAAAAGAAGAGGGGATGCCACACAGTGGTAAACATGGCCTTGTCCCAACTTTTTTGAGATGTGTTGATGCCATGAAATTTAAAATCAACTTATTTTTCCCTTAAAACGATAAATTTGGTCAGTTTAAGCATTTGATATGTCATCTATGTTGTATTCTGAATAAAATATTGAAATTGGAAACTTCCACATCATTGCATTCTGTTTTTATTCACAATTTGTACAGTGTCCCAACTTTTTTGGAATCGGGGTTGTATTTGGTCTTGGCGGAATAGATCTGCTAGGCCGCTGCTGCTGTTGGTTGATGTTGTTGAGTTAGATTATTGCTGCTGCTGCAAGCAAGTACAGGAACTTGCTACTGCCAATGCACATGGTGTTACGGTGCCGTGAGTATTTAAGACATACTGCTGCTGCTGCAAAAATTGCATATAAAATAACCCCATAGCAGATCTATACAAGTGGAGCTGGGGAAGGTGGAGGGTTTCAGAGAACTCTGAAAGCACGCTGCAGGAATCTCAAGTGAATGCTAGCCAGCCATATAAATGCAATGCAGTAAGCTCATTGGCTTTATATGCAGCATGAAACAATCAGCTTGTACCAAGTCGTTTAACTCTTTGAATATCATCAGTTACGTTAACAACCCGTCAGCCTGCGGCATCTAGAGTTTCATAACTGAACTATATACGTATATATTTATATATATACCAGTGGCGAGTGGTGACTTTATTTAATCGGGTATGCTGAGTGATAAACCCCCCCCCCCCCCCTTTT